AGATTGCAACGACGCGAAAAAGCATATCATCGTGGTTAGCGATAATCGAGCAGTGTAGACTTTGGAGACCACAGCCTGTGAGACCAGAGAGCCAAAGTTGGACAAAGAACTAAACTTGGCCATTACGTGACATAAAAGGGTGTCATCTTAATTCAATTATAAAATCACCTGGACGATTAGCCATGCACTCCATGCAATGTGACTCGTCAGAATAAGAAATGCCCCTTGATCCAGTTTTCCTTCTCATGCCTCATCTCACCAACAGATATATTTACGAAACCTTTAAATAGGTATCCTCCTTTCCAGAAAGTGAAAACAAGAGAACCACCAATGCAGAAAAGTGTGCCAGCCACCTTAGCTTGACCTCTAGCAGTTCTAATCTTCAACTTCTCCAACCTGTGTAAGAACAAGCAAATTGCAGAACAGGAAAAAAGAACATTTATATTCCCCTTTCTAATTAAGCAAGGGAAAGGAAAGGACAGAGAATATACCCAAGTAGAACTGCCATTAGAAATGTCAAGCTGGGAATAACATTACTCAAGGCACATGCAACTGTTGGAGAAGTGTATGCTAAACCAGCATAGTACACATTCAGATAGATGGTGGTTCCAAACAAGGCAAGCACAAAAATTTTGGCAGCTACAGAAAATGAGAGTGAAGGCCTTTGTTTCCTCCTTTACAAATCCATTCAAGAATTAGTTTTCTCTGTTTTTACTGCCTGGAAATATGAAGTGATGCAAGAATCAATAGCTTACCTTTCAAGTACATAAGCAAATGGTCCTACCAAAACCATGGCCATAACATGCGGTAAACGACGAAGACAATTGGATTGAGTCCTTCTGCAAGGGAGAATTTTCTGAGGATGTTTGATCCACCATATATGAGCTGAACCAGTACCATTGCCAAGTAATAAGAGCAACCCTCCATTTATACGGATATGAAACTTTCTTGGACTAATTGGGATCACTGAATCAAGTTTTAATGGGTTGGTTTTTTAGCGGAATTCACAATCAGTTTAGCAATTCCAAAAAGGCATGACACCTTACGTTTTTCCAGGGTTTAACTTACTTGATGGTGCAACTATAAAGAACCATTTTTGGGGCATTTTTATTAGTGGAAATTATTTTAAGTGTTCTTCCCCATTTTGGCTCAAAGACAAACATTTAAAAACTGAAGATTGTGCAAATGAAAGATTGGCCATCACATTTCTCACTTTAAAAATCAATAACCTGCATAAAAGAATCCCAGAATTCCACAATTTATGTTTGGCAACAGAAACCCAAAATATAGTAAAACTTACTCATCAAAATTTCCATGCAAGATTTAAAAAAAGAAGAAGAGTACAGATGAAAAACTCAAAATCAAAATCAGAAAAAGCACTCTTCTTCTCACTCACAAAAATCCCATCAAGAAACTTCCTAATATCCTTGTTCTTCACATGGCACTTCTGGTTTATGAGAGCAGCAGACCTCAACACCAACGCAGACCCGCCTAGACCTGCGCAGGCCGCCTAGATCCGCCCAGACCGCCTAGCGGCCGCCTAGATCAGCCCAGACCGCCTAGCGGCCGCCTAGCTCCGCCCAAACCGCCTAGGGGCCGCCTAGATCCGCCCAGACCGCCTAGGGGCCGCCTAGATCCGCCCAGACCGCCTAGGTGCCGCCTAGCTCCGCCCAGACCGCCTAACTACGAGTTCGAGTCTCTATCCGTGGCTGCCATGGCGTGCAATTTACGTATGTTTCTGATTTTGCAATTTTTTTTTCTTTGTTTAAATGGAATACGATTATCACAGTGGAGATTTCAATTGCCGAACAACATTTGATAGTATAGCCGAACGGCTATACACTTCAAATATACAATTTTGTCATATTACGGTTTAGAGCTAAAATACCAATTCAGCTTATTAGGCTAGAGTTATTTCTTCAATTATTTTATTTATACAAGTGATGTTGGGGAATGAGAATTTAAATTCTTTCCGATACCTCCCATTCTAATAATTTCCGGCTATTAGCCCATTGCGCGATAATAAAAAATGAATTTTATTTATGAGAAAAAATGGCCTAGGTCATTTACCCTTGTGGAATTGCATCTGGGATTTGGTCTTCTGCATCATTATAAAACTGAAATCTTTTACATCAACTGTTCTTATGACCATTTTCAGTGCCAGTCCTGATCACTAATAAAAATAAATCGTAAAATAAGTATAGTCTTGGGTAATGGCATTATATATATAATCATAAAAAAGGTGAACAATGGCATTATATATAATCGATTATATATATATATATATATCTTGCATTACTATAGGAGGGAGATGAGATATATATATCCACTATACAATTGTTCACCTTTTTTCAGCTGACATACAATTGATTTTCCTATGCATGTATATATATATATGACATGCAATTATATCATCTCCACATTGCATCGCATGAGCCTACGCCGTAATTAATTAGCATCTGGATCTTTTGATGCATATCAAAACACCAAATGACCTTGTCAATGAGCGGACATATTTGGCATTAACAACTGGGAAAGTTTGTTCTCCGTTATAGTTTGGCTTTGCTCTTCCGGCACCTGTTTCGACGAAAGAAGCCCCATTTTCGAAGATATCTCCTACAGAGCAAAACTTCCAGGATTCTTTTGTCTCCAATGCTGTCCTTCCTCCAAGTGATCTGTGCGTACATGGAAAATCATTAAGTAATTAATTAAGGGCATTGCATTTGAACTTGAATATATATACATTTGAGTTAATAATTACCTCTTTCTTGTTTCCCGATTTGGTGCAATGAAGAGGTTGGCTTCACTCTTAACACTAGGGTTCATGCTTCCCCCAATGGCATACTGCGACCATTCTCTGTAAAGATTATTCACGACATGTGCATATTCATAGCGAATCCTGCATGCATGCAATAGTAAGTAATATAATACTCACTCTCTGTTGAGAATACGAAGGTGAAAATGTCCCACACTTATATTACCTACACACTTTGCTAATATTAATAAATAGAGGAGTTGAAAGTGAAGGTAGCCAGCGATCTCAATTAATATATGGACATAGCTAGCCCAGGGGCCTTTACCTTGGCATTCTTTGGTTGCAGTTGGGTCCAAAATGGTTGTACACAACGGTCACCCTCATGTTCTTGTCCCGAAAGTAGCCATCATCCTGGCCAAGAAGCATAACCTTGTCCTGGTCTCTGAACCAATTGTTGGAGATGGTGATATGGGTAGATCCGCGAGTAACATCGAGAAGACCGTCCTGGCACTCGTAAAGTGTATTGTGGTCTATCCAAACCTTATGCTGTTACCAACCTTATTGCATCTCCATCAACCTGCCCTATTGGTATTATCTTTCCTTCTGGACCCATAACTGAGCTTGGTGGTTGGGGTCGGCAATGATGGATTCGAAAGGCCATGGATGATTATATTGCTTGCCTGATAACGTTTAAAATAATAATATAATTAGTTTACATGCATGAAAATGTACACAAGTTATCTTTACTATATTCAATCTCCAAAAAATCATAGCAAGACTGTCATGTGGTGTTACAAATTTACTTATAATTAATGCATGTATTATTATCAATAAAAACTATTCCCTAGCTAGTTCCATGAGATATATATATATATAATACGTGTCGTTCACCCATATTATAACAGTAGATAATATATAGCACGTGCAGTGGCGGATCTGTGCAGGCGCAAGGCGGTGCGCCTGCACCTCCGGTAGCCGGAAATAGCCATTACAGACGCTGGAGTTGCACCTTTGCTTCAGACCAGCGATGCACACAATGTGCTCGATGAAATGCGCAAACCACTGGGCTGGGGAGCTGCTGCCTACTGGTGCTGCGTGCAGCGCGTACGCGAGGGCTCCTGTTTTTTTTTAACGAAGCCTGGCCAAAATTGTCGTCGTTTTGGACCAGGCTGTTTAATATGCTTTTTTTTTTTTTTTTTTTTTTTTTTTTGTTTTAAAACCTGGCCAAAACGACGTCGTTTTGGACCAGGGTTTTGAAATTAAAAAGAAAAAGAAAAAAAGGGAAACTGACGTGGGCTTTTTGTGGGCTTTTGAAAAAGGGCTTCTATTTCCTTACTTAATTGGGTTTTAATTAAAAGTTCTCTTTATTCAATTGGGTTTTGAGAATTCCTTAATTAAATAGAGTTGAGAATTCCTTAATTAAGTAGAATTGAGAATTCGCTTTATAAAAGATCAATAGCATCACCCAATTTCATCAAAGTGTGTGTGCATCCTAAGAATCCTGCATTTTTTTTCTTCTTCTTGAGTACGCCAATCCAAAGTAAGTCGAATGCTTTTTTTTTTTTCTTGAGCAAACACCAATTTTGTTTATTCTTTTTTTAATAATTTTTTTTTCTTATTTAACTCTCTCTATATTAGTAAGATCAGTAGCAAACTCGAGGAGAAATAGGCTACGTGACACGTTATTCGAGGTATAATTATTATTTATTTATTTATTTAATTGATAATTTGATAATTTGATAATTATTTATTTGATAAATTATAGTCAATTAGTCATAATAATAGATATAAAACCCTTATTTTGTTTCAATTGTACAGTTATGGAACAGTACTTTCAGAGAAAAGAGTTTAAATCTTCCTTCAAATAATCTGGGTAGTTCAAATCCTCCTTCGAATCATCTGTCTAGTTCCAACCCTCCTTCAAATAATCCGGCTAGTTCCAACCCTCCTTCAAATAATCTGGCTAGTTCAAATCAACCTTCAAATAATCCGCCTACTGAGTTGGATGAAATATTAGCTAATCTTCCTGCAGACCCTGGCCTTAGACCTCCAATGACTTATTATAATCCCAATTTTCGAGAACAAATCCGAAGAGCCTATCTGCAAAGGGGTCCTTGTCAGCCTACAAGCCAAAACGATATGCCCCAAACACTTATGGGGGAGAGTAATCGACGTTTTCTTGTGAAATCCTCAGGCATATTATGTCCATTGTTTTGCACATCAACTACAACTAGCTCTTGTAGCCATGGCAAAGGGTAATGAAAACATTGCTACTTTCTTCACAACGGCTAGTAGTGTTGTTAACATTATTGGAGCATCGTGTAAGCGTCGTGATGCACTTAGAGAGCAACAACAAAAAGATATTATGAAAGCTCTTGAAATTGATGATCTTGAAACAGGGCAAGGGTTAAATCAAGAGACTACTCTCAAACGTCCTTGTGATACACGTTGGAACTCACATTATGATACTTTACTGAGTATTAATACTATGTTTCATCCCGTGGTGAAGGTGCTTGAATGGATTGTTGATGATGTCAACCAAGGTAATTTAGGTGAAGCAAATAGGTTATTGAAAGAAATACAAACTTTTGACATTGTGTTTCACCTATATTTGATGAGATTTATATTGGGAATCACAAATGATTTGTCAAAGGCATTACAAAAGAAAGATCAAGATATTGTGAATGCAATGATGTTGGTGCAAAGATGTAAGCAAAAGCTACAATCCATGAGGGATGATGACTTTGATGATCTGCTTGGCAAAGTATCAATATTTTGTGGCAACAATGATATTGATGTTCCTAACATGGATGATTTATTTGTACCACAAGGGAGATCACGTCGTAAAGCTCAGAAAATCACAAACCGCCATTATTATCATGTGGACCTATTTCTTACTATCATTGATAAGAAACTAGTGGAATTGAATAATCGCTTCACTGAGGTAAATACTGAATTGCTTCTTTGTATGGCATGTTTGAGTCCAGCTTATAATTTTGCAGCTTTTGACAAACAACAAATACTTCGTTTTGCTCAATTTTACCCTCAAGAATTTAATGACCGAGACCTCATGAAGCTTGAAGATCAACTTGGGCTTTATATTGTTGATATGCAGAGCAGCACTGAGTTTTCATCATTGAAAGGAATTACTGATCTGGCAGAAAAATTGGTGAATACAGGAAGGAGTAGAATATACAACTATGTATATTTACTTCTTACATTGGCTTTAGTTTTACCCGTTGCAACAGCTTCAGTTGAGAGAGCTTTTTCAGCTATGAATATTGTGAAAACACCATTGCGTAACAAAATAGGGAATCAATGGTTGAGTGATAGCTTGGTTGTTTACATTGAGAAAGATGTTTTTTCTTGTATTAGTAATATAAATATAATGCGACGTTTTCAAGATATGAAATCTCGTCGGCAACAATTGTAGGGTAATTGTAATGATATTTTTTTAATGTATTATGAATAACATTAGTATTGTTTAAATTATAAGGATGTTTAGATTTTTTTTTTTTTTTTCTTAGCTTTTGAAAATTGCATCTCAAAGCAGAGAGGTATTGCACTTTTCTCCCCTCTTAACATTGGGAATTTTAGGTGCACGTGGATATGGTATATGTAAGAATGAGATGCTACTTCTCATCTAACACGTTGTTTGAAATCTCATTTATAATAGTTTGTATATATATATATATATATATCTTCGTTGTCTCATTAGAATGTTTTGTATCCAATTTTTCATGTGCAGAGATTATATTGATGCATCTCAAAGCAGAAGAGCAGGTTGTCAAGTGCAATGAGAAAAAGTTTGTCATTGGGTTTAGTTCATAATTACCATGGATACATTTTAGAAAGTAAATTCTTACACTAGCAATTTTATGCTCTGAAATTCAAGATTCTTTTATCCCCAAAATGTTGGTGGATCCCTATTTTTTGTTGTTGTATTTATGGGTACCCGTAATATTTCTCATAAATAAAATCCATTTTTTATTCTTGCCTAATGGACTAATAGTTGGAAATCATTAGAATGGGAGGTACCGGAAAGAATTTAAATTCTCATTCCCCAATATCACTCGTATAAATAAAAAAAATTGAAGAAATATCTCTATCCTAATTAGCTAAGTGGTATTTTAGCCCTAAACCCTAAAATAAAATGACAAAATTGTATATTCAAAGAGTGTAGCCGGGCGGCTATACGGGTAAAATATATTATTTTAAAGGTATGGCCGGTCGGCTCTACGGTTTGAATATATTGGAATATTTTAAATGTATAGCCGCGCGGCTATACGCTTTAAATTTATTTCCGAACAAACACGAAGCTTGCACTCACAGTGACAGCCATTTCGTTTCTCTATAAGCGCTTCCAAGCTTCAAAGACTCGGCAACTAAAGCTTCGAAATTTTTTCTTTCGTTTCAGCTGCTGTGTTGATTGGATTGGATTGGACACTCTCTATGAAAACCATCAAATGTCGTTCAGCTATTGAAATCTCCACTAAGATAACAACTCTGATGCTATAAGTAGTTAGGCGGCGTCTAGGTGGCCTGGGCTGATCTAGGCGGCGCCTAGTCGGATCTAGGGGGCCTGGGCGGGTCTGAGAATCCTTTTTTTTTCCAAATGAAGACAGACGAAGCTTGCACTCGCAGAGGAATCTGGTGCGTGAGTGAAATGAAGAGACAGAGAAACGAACACGATACTTGCACTCGCAGTCCAATCTTCAAAATTCAAATACTCGGTCTTGAGCCTCTCTCTCAACTCAAGCTTGGATTTTTTTTCTTCGGTTTCGGCTGCTGCGTTGATTCAATTTTTTGTGTGCTTTTCTGTTATTGAAGTTGGCAACGTCAGATGAACATCCAAGGCAGTTTCTTAGTATACCAAAAGAAGCCCAGCATATGGTTCTTTAACCTGAGGCACACCTTGCAGTTTGTCATTGGATTACACCATGCCAGTCTGAATGACAAAGATAGATCTCTGGTTGAGGAACAAGGTTCAGGCATTTCTATTTTACCTCAATAAGCATGAGTCTTTCCTGATAAACACATTAGGAAAAGAGAATATAAAAAGATCATTTTCTTAATCAATATACTGATTAGGCATATGTATTAAATATGAGTGCTACTATTTCCACCCTCCTGTCCTATTTTCCCACCCACCTTATTTTCAAAATTTTAAGGACAAATTTAGCCCTTTGTGAAATGACTTTTAAGGACTTATGTCACCTTATTAAAATTTAATCCAATGGATTGGAATTTTTTCATAATTAAAAAGAAAAAAAAACCCTAATGCAACTTAACAATTTGAACCTTAACTCCTGCCGTCATTTACCTTTTTTTTCCCTTTATATTTCCTATCTCTTCAATCTCTCCCCCTTTCCTGTTTGTTTTGTTTGAAAAATCCTCCCCCAATCTTTTTTTTTTTGGGGTCAATATCTCCCCCACTCAGTTTAGTCTTCTTCTTTCTTTCTTTTTTTTTTCCTTATTTCTTATATCTGTAGCTTCTCCACCCAATTGCACAGGTTTGGTTTTTCCTTCTTTCTTCCTAAACCCTGAACAAACTCTCCAAAATAGAAGTTTTTTATTTTTATTTTTATTTTATTTTTGTGTGGGTAGACTCTCTTTACAATGACTTAACTGATCTCTACATAATAATCAAATCGTTCAAATTCAATTTAATTCAATTTAAGGTGACTTTCTTTCTTAGCCTTGCCTTCTTATACGCCATCTACATTTGTTATTGCTTCCTACAGCCTCTCCCAACAAACCCTCCAACTCAACAATGAGACTACCCTTCAATTCGCAGGTCCCAACACCGAATTTTCTCAAGCCACCACCAAAACCAACCAAACTTAGAGTAAGGAAGAGGGAAAAAAAAAAACCTATAGAATTGGGTGGAGAAAATGCTGAGAAAGAAAGAAGAAAAAAGAAAAGAAGAATAACGATTGCAGGAGTTAATTGTTAAGTTCCATTAAGCTTCTTTTTTTATCTTTGAATTATTATGTTTGACAAAAGAAAACAATAATTAAAGGGTATTTTAGGAATAATGGTGGGTGGAAAGATAGGATTATGTTTTTTCAAATTTACATGGTGGGTGGGAAAATAAGGTGGGTGGGGAAATAAGACAGGGGGGTGGAAATAGCAGCACTCTAAATTATAGGTATTGGTTTGTACCAGCACATTGGCATGGGGTGTAAACCTTCTAGGTCATCATCTGTTCATTATTAAGGGAAGGCAAAATTTGTGCGCTATCTTTTTCATTTGGTTCCTATATTCACAAAGGTTTCTAGCAGGAGTATATTGCAGCAGCTGTTCTTCAGAACAAATTTACGTCGGTGTTGATTCTCTTGCTGTTGCAGGGAACAGAATATTATGATGGGAAAACAAAGAGATATGTTGATTTTCCAATATAAATCACAGATATATTGCAAATGATGGGTTTGGTCACACGTGACTATATAGAATAAAAAAGGGAAAGAAATAAATATGTGAATCAGGTTACATGTTTTTCTCCCTTTATAATCAACAGTTGCTCAGATTCTACAAGAAAGATGGGAGTATATGTCCATCACAATCCGATCACGCCTAAAGATCAACAAAAACACGAATCATATTACTCTCTGAATCCCGGAATTCCACAATTTATGTTTGGCAATAGAAACCCAAAATATAGTAACACTTGCTCATCAAAATTTCCATCCAAGATTAAAAAAACAGAGTAAAGATGAAAAACTCAAAATCAGAAAAAACACTCTAACAAGCACAAATCCCAAAAATCTAATCACTCTGACGAGAGTCAATCAGCCCAAATCACAACCTCACATCTCTCCCCCCGGCTACTATGATTGCTCAATCCTCTGCAAATCAGGATTCATGATGTCGTGCCACAATCTCTCCCTCAATATTAGTATTAGTTTAAATCTATGATTGTGTAAATCTTGAATTACCTTATTAACCTTAGCTTTCCATATATACTTAGGCCAACGTCAACTGTAATATCATATAAAGATGAATGAATACAGGCATCACAATTAGTGAGCCATTCCCTAATTTTCTATTCCTTCCTAAATTTCTACACACTCCTCTTCAGCTATCGTCCTCTTCTCACTCACAAAAATCCCATCAAGAAACTTCCTAATATCCTTGTTCTTCACATGGCACTTCTGGTTTATGAGAGCAGCATACCTCAACACCAACGCAGACCCGCCTAGACCTGCGCAGGCCGCCTAGATCCGCCCAGACCGCCTAGCGGCCGCCTAGATCAGCCCAGACCGCCTAGCGGCCGCCTAGCTCCGCCCAGACCGCCTAGGGGCCGCCTAGATCCTCCCATACCGCCTAGGGGCCGCCTAGCTCCGCCCAAACCGCCTAGGGGCCGCCTAGATCCGCCCAGACCGCCTAGGGGCCGCCTAGCTCCGCCCAGACCGCCTAACTACGAGTTTGAGTCTCTATCCGTGGCTGCCATGGCGTGCAATTTACGTATGTTTCTGATTTTGCAATTTTTTTTTTGTTTGTTTAAATGGAAGAACGATTATCACAGAGTTTCTTCTAAGGATTTTAAGATTTTATAGCATTAGAGTTGTTATCATAGTGGAGATTTCAATAGTTGAATGACATTTGATAGTATAGCCGAACGGCTATACTCTTTAAATATACAATTGTGTCATATTATTTTAGGGTTGAGGGCTAAAATACCACTTTAGCTAATTGGGCTAGAGTTATTTCTTCAATTATTTTATTTATACAACCGATATTTGGGGAATGAGAATTTAAATTCTTTCCGATACCTCCCATTCTAATGATTTCCGGCTATTAGTCCCTTGTGCAAACGGATTTTATTTATGAGAAATAATACCGGTTTAACCCATAAATACAACAACCAAAATAGGGATCCACCAACGTCTTGTGAATCAAAGAATGTTGAATTTCATAGTATAAAATTGCTTGTATAAGAATTTACTTTCTACAATGTATCCATCGTAATTATGAATTGAACCCAATTACAACTTTTTTCTCATTGCACTTGACAACCCTGCTCCTACTTTGAGATACATCAGTATATTCTCTGCATATGAAAAATTGGATACAAAACATTCTAATGAGACAACGAAGAGGAGTTTTGAAATAAATTGAAGTTATCAAAGGTCATATGGCATTGATATATATATATATATACGAACTATTCTAAATGAGATTTCAAACAACGTGTTAGATGAGAAGAAGCATCTCATTAAATATACCATACCCAGAAGCTGAAGGTTTGAGTCCTGCTGAAATGGCCCTATATTTTTTTAGGGTAATGTACTGTGGAAAGGAAAAACACAAAAGAAGAGCTTCTCTTGGAGGACAAAGGAAAAAACAAAACAAAACAAGGTAAACAATACAGGAAAGAGGCATGGACTAACAACATTCAAGGGTGCTCAGCATCCCCGATTAACATCTCTAACTAATCAACTGATATGCTAGCTGTCGAATGTAATAATATAAACAAGGCAGAATGCCCAATTCACACTAGCACTCTTTTATTCTAGGCAAGTACTACTACTAAGAAGTCAGAATTGTAACTACTAAGAAGAATACCTGCACACTAAGGGCACATTTAAAGGCTTTTAACTTGTGTCTTCACCACATTTAAGTACAAGAGGATCATTGTCACAGCAGCGATGCAAATGATGGGCGTTCTGAACTTTAACAGCAAAAAAAGATAGGTGTAGAGTATTGAAAAAATAAAAAGGAAAATGGTTTATTGATTAGATTTAGGACTGCAAGACTTCATCCATTGACTTTATTTGATTTTCTGATATTCAAAACCCCAAACAACCTGATTCCTAGTATTTGAGGCAAATATTCAAATTCAGAGAGTAATATGATTCGTGTTTTTGTTGATCTTTAGGCGCGGGCGGATTGTGATGGACATATACTCCCATCTTTCTTGTAGAATCTGAGCAACTGTTGAATATAAAGGGAGAAAAATATGTAACCTGATTCACATATATATTTATTTCTTTCCCTTTTTTATTCTATATAGTCACGTGTGACCAAAACCATCATTTGCAATATATCTGTGATTGATATTGGAAAATCAACATATCTCTTTGTTTTCCCATCATAATATTCTGTTCCCTGCAACTGCAAGAGAATCAACACCGATGTAAATTTGTTCTGAAGAACAGCTGCTGCAATATACTCCTGCTAGAAACCTTTGTGAATATAGGAACCAAATGAAAAAGGTAGCGCACAAATTTTGCCTTACCTTAATAATCACCAGATGATGACCTAGAAGGTTTACACCCCATGCCAACGTGCTGGTACAAACCAATACCTATAATTTAATACATATGCCTAATCAGTATATTGATTAAGAAAATGATATTTTTATATTCTCTTTTCCTAATGTGTTTTTCAGGAAAGACTCATGCTTATTGAGGTAAAACAGAAATGCCTGAATCTTGTTCCTCAACCAGAGATCTATCTTTGTCATTCAGACCGGCTGTTGAAATATAATCCTTCTACAGATTTCTTAGAGCTGATGTCATTTTCTATTTTCTGTTATGTCTATTTTAAATAATGCAATGAGAACCATTAGATCATAGTCTAGGTGGATTCTCTAGCTTAGATTTGGTATGACACGTGTAAGCACCTAATAGGGTGACAGCTGTAATTCTGTTATGAGAGAATCACATTTCTCTCACTGTCAGACACACTATGAAAGCTGCAAATTGTAAGAATTCAATGGAACAGTGCCTTCCCACTTTTCTCTTCATTCTCTCTACCTAAAATCTCCAGAATATACACCTCTTCCTAATCTGAAAATACATATACAAACCCAGAATTCTAACATGGCCTCAGAGCCAGGTTTCGATTGTTTGTTGGGCGTGAATCTGTGAGAATCGAGCTGGTGTTTGGCTGAGCTGACGTTGAGCTCACTCAAAATTTCACGAAGCTTTTCTAGCTGCGTCTGATGTCTAACATGGCAGGATCAAGCTCTTCTGAGCTTCGTACACCAGTTTTCAATGGAGAAAACTATGAGTTTTGGAGCATTCGAATGAAGACCATTCTGAAATCTCATGGACTGTGGGATTTGGTTGAAAATGGTTTTGATGCTTCAGATCCAGAGAAAAAGAAAGGAAAGGAAGAAGGATCTAAAGCTGCTGAAGAAGAGAAGTCTACATCGGCTGAGATTTTGATGAAAGATGCTCGTGCACTTGGACTGATCCAAGGTGCAGTCTCAGACCAAATTTTTCCCAGAATAGTGAATGAAGAAACCTCAAAAGGTGCATGGGATATTCTGAAGCAGGAGTTTAGAGGCGATAAACAGGTACGAAGTGTGAAGCTACAAGGCTTACGTAGAGAGTTTGAATACACTCGTATGAAGGATAGTGAGTCATTCTCTAGTTATGTTGCTAAACTGTTTGATCTAATTAATCAAATGAAAAGTTATGGTGAAGAGTTACCTAGAGAAAGAGTTGTGCAGAAATTGCTTATTAGCTTGCCTAGATCTTATGACTCTATATGTTCTGTGATTGAGCATTCAAAGGATCTTGACACTCTTGAAATTCAAGAAGTGGTTGCATCTCTCAAGAACTTTGAACTCAGGTTGGATAGGCACACTGAAAATTCCACAGAAAAGGCTTTTACTAGCCTGAACATAGAGAGTAAAAACTCTAAGAATGGAAGTTCTTCTGGAGGTAACAAGTCTCAGAGGAACTGGAAGGAAAATGGGAAGAATTGGAATAACAAGTCCAATTCTAATCCCAAACCAAATGCATCAAATGATGGAACTAAAACACCTTGCAAGCACTGTGAAAAACTGCACTATGGCAAGTGCTGGTTTGAAGGAAAACCAAAATGCAGAGGATGTGGAAAGTTTGGTCACATGGTTAGAAATTGCCATGAAAATCAATCTGTGCAGAAAGTGAATTATGCCAATCAGGTTGAAGTAACTGGAACATTGTTTTATGCATGCAATGCCGTGACAGGTGTGAAATTGAACAATTCTTGGTATGTGGACAGTGGTTGTAGTAACCACATGACTGGAGATGAAAGGCTGTTGATAGATATTCGAAGGGATGTAACTTCCAAGGTGAAAATGGGGACTGGAGAGACAGTTCAAGTTGCAGGAAAAGGCACACTTGTGATAGAAACCAAGACAGGCAGAAAACACATTCAAGAAGTGATGTTGGTGCCTGGTTTAGAAGAGAACTTGCTCAGTGTTGGTCAGATGATGGAACATGGGTATTGTTTAGTATTTGGAAAGGGAATGGTGACAATTTTTGATGATTGGTCACTGCAAAATCCTATAGCTAAGATTCCAATGACTACCAATAGGTGTTTCTCTCTCACAATGGTACCTGCTACTCAGTTGGTGCTGAGAGCAAGTGTGACTCACAGTTTGCAGACTTGGCATAAAAGGCTGGGCCACCTTAATGATCAAAGCATCAGGATGCTGGCAAATCAAGACATGGTTCATGGACTGCCTAGTCTGGAGAAGGATTTTGCAGTTTGTGAAGGCTGCAAGCTGGGAAAGCAGCATAGAGACTCATTTCCTGCAGAATCTACTTGGAGAGCTCAGTTTCCACTTGAATTAGTCCACACTGACATCTGTGGTCCTATGCAGATTGCATCAATGTCAGGAAACAGATATTTCCTGTTATTCATTGATGACTATACAAGAATGGCTTGGGTTTATTTTCTCAGAAATAAATCTAATACTTTTGAATGTTTCAAGAAGTTCAAAGCAATGACAGAACTGCAGAGTGGACACAAGGTGAAATCACTTAGAAGTGACAGAGGTGGAGAATTCATGTCAAATGAATTTCTTGCATACTGCAGTGAGGCTGGGATACAAAGGCAGCTGACTGTAGCTTATTCCCCTCAACAAAATGGAGTTGTTGAGAGGAAGAACAGGACTGTAATTGAGATGGCAAAGTCTATGCTACATGAAAAAAGACTTCCGTATGAGTTTTGGGCAGAAGCTGTTCTTACAGCAGTCTATCTTCTCAACAGGTGTCCCTCTAAGTCTCTTAAGAAAGTGACACCATTTGAGGCCTTCACAGGAAGAAAGCCAGGTATTGCACACTTGAAAGTGTTTGGATGTCTATGTCATGTGCTTATTCCTTCTGTTTTGAGACACAAGTTGGAAGAAAACAGTCAAAAATGCATTTTTGTGGGCTATGGATTGTGTGAAAAAGGCTATAGACTGTATGATCCTAAGACTAGAAAGATTATCTTGTCTAGGGATGTCTATTTTGATGAAGAAGCCTCATGGAAATGGGAGAATTCTAGCAATGCAGATGTGAGAGTGCCTATGCCAGATGGAAATCTAGGTACTGCAGAAACTGAACAGAGGGTATTAGATGATCAACCTCAGTTTTTGGATACTCAAATGCAGATGGAAGAAGAAATTGCACCTCAAGGGGAAGAAATGCTTGATGAGACTCAAAGGTTTGATCACACACCTCACAAGTGGAGGAGTATTAATGACATCATGACACAATGCAACATGTGCATTGTAGAACCTGACAGCTTTGAAGAAGCAGATTTGGATGAATCATGGAGAAGTGCAATGGAGGCTGAACTCGAGATGATTAAGAAGAACAATACATGGAAATTAGTTGACAGGCCATTTGACAAACCAGTAATTGGTGTTAAGTGGATCTACAAGGTCAAACTGAACCTAGATGGTACTGTGCAGAAGAATAAAGCTAGGCTTGTGGCTAAAGGCTATTCACAGAAGCCTGGAATCGACTATAATGAGACATTTGCCCCTGTGGCAAGACTTGACACCATCAGAACCTTGATAGCCCTTGCAGCACAAAAGGAATGGAAACTATTTCAACTGGATGTGAAGTCTGCCTTTCTCAATGGCATTCTAAAGGAGGAAGTTTATGTTGAACAACCTCAAGGATATGTTCAAGAGAGCAAGGAAACCAAGGTGTACAGGTTGAACAAGGCTCTATATGGACTGAAACAAGCCCCAAGGGCCTGGTATGATGAAATAGATGCCTATTTCAACACTGCAGGTTTTAAGAAGAGCTTAAGTGAAGCTACTCTCTATATCAAGACAAGTGACACCTCAGGTATTATCATTGTCTCACTTTATGTAGATGACATTATATATACTGGAAGCTGTCCTAAAATGCTTGAAGAGTTTAAACAAGATATGATGCAACACTATGAGATGACAGACTTGGGTCTGTTGCACCATTTTCTTGGCATGGGAGTGGAACAAACTGATAAGCATATTTTCATTCATCAAAAGAAATATGCCATGAAAATTCTTGAGAAGTTTGGAATGAGAGACTGCAAGTCAGTGGCAATTCCATTAGTGGTGAATGAGAAACTGTGTAGAGAAGATGGAAGTGAAGCAGCAGATGAAAGTGAATTCAGACAGATTGTAGGGAGTCTGCTTTATCTGACTGCCACAAGACCAGATGTCATGTTTGCATCTAGCTTGCTTGCTAGGTTTATGCACAATCCCTCAAAGAAACACATGGGAACTGCTAAACGGGTGCTGAGATACATACAAGGCACATCAGATTTTGGAATTGAGTTTGCAAAGGGGAAAACAGCTACTCTAATTGGGTATTGTGACAGTGACTGGGCTGGGAGTGAGGATGATATGAGGAGCACCTCAGGATATGCCTTCTCACTAGGCTCAGGCATGTTCTCTTGGGCTTCCATCAAGCAAAACACAGTTGCTTTATCTACAGCCGAAGCTGAATATGTGAGTGCTGCAGAAGCAACTTCACAAGCTAAGTGGCTCAGATTTGTGCTTGAAGATTTTGGTGAAGAACAGGTAGAAGGGACTCCAATTCTATGTGACAACACCTCTGCAATTGCAATGGCAAGGAATCCAGTCCATCACCAAAAGACAAGACACATCAGCAGGAAATTTCATTTTATAAGGGAAGCCATTCAAGCAAAAGAAATTGAACTGGTGTACTGCAAGACAGAAGATCAGATAGCAGACATTTTGACTAAGGCTCTGCCTAAGGATCGGTTTGTGAGGTTGAGAAGCTTGCTTGGAGTGAAATCAGCTAAAGGATTAGAAGGGAGTGTTGAAATATAATCCTTCTACAGATTTCTTAGAGCTGATGTCATTTTCTATTTTCTGTTATGTCTATTTTAAATAATGTAATGAGAACCATTAGATCATAGTCTAGGTGGATTCTCTAGCTTAGATTTGGTATGACACGTGTAAGCACCTAATAGGGTGACAGCTGTAATTCTGTTATGAGAGAATCACATTTCTCTCACTGTCAGACACACTATGTAAGCTGCAAATTGTAAGAATTCAATGGAAACAGTGCCTTCCCACTTTTCTCTTCATTCTCTCTACCTAAAATCTCCAGAATATACACCTCTTCCTAATCTGAAAATACATATACAAACCCAGAATTCTAACACCGGCATGGTGTAATCCAATGACAAACTAAGAACCATCTGCTGGGCTTCTTTTGGTATACTAAGAAACTGCCTTGGATGTCCATCTGACGTTGCCAACTTCAATAACAGAAAAGCACACAAAAAATCGAATCAATGCAGCAGCCGAAACCGAAGAAAAAAAATCCAAGCTTGAGTTGAGAGAGAGGCTCAAGACCGAGTATTTGAATTTTGAAGATTGGACTGCGAGTGCAAGCTTCGTGTTCGTTTCTCTGTCTCTTCATTTCCCTCGTGCACCAGATTCCTCTGCGAGTGCAAGCTTCGTCTGTCTGCATTTGGAAAAAAAGACCCGCCCAGGCCGCCTAGATCCGCCTAGGCGCGCCTAGACGCTGCCTAACTACTTATAGCATCAGAGTTGTTATCTTAGTGGAGATTTCAATAGCTGAACGACATTTGATGGTTTTCATAGAGAGTGTCCAATCCAATCCAATCAACACCGCAGCCGAAACGAAAGAAAAAATTTCGAAGCTTTAGTTGAGAGAGAGAGAGACTCAATATCGAGTCTTTGAAGCTTGGAAGCGCTTATAGAGAAACGAAATGGCTGTCACTGTGAGTGCAAGCTTCGTGTTTGTTTGGAAATAAATTTAAAGAGTATAGCCGCGCGGCTATACATTTAAAATATTCCAATATATTCAAACCGTAGAGCCGACCGGCCATACCTTTAAAATAATATATTTTACCCGTATAGCCGCCCGGCTATACTCTTTGAATATACAATTTTTTCATGTTATTTTAGGGTTCAGGGCTAAAATACCACTTTAGCTAATTAGGATAGAGATATTTCTTCAATTTTTTTATTTATACGAGTGATATTGGGGAGTGAGAATTTAAATTCTTTCCGGTACCTCCCATTCTAATGATTTCCAACTATTAGTCCATTAGGCAAGAATAAAAAATGTATTTTATTTATGACAAATATTGCGGGTACTCATAAATACAACAACAAAAAATAGGGATCCACCAACATTTTGGGGATAAAGAATCTTGAATTTCAGAGCATAAAATTACTAGTGTAAGAATTTACTTTCTAAATGTATCCATGGTAATTATAACTAAACCAAATGACAAAATTTTTCTCATTGCACTTGACAACCAACTCTTCTGCTTTGAGATGCATCAATATAATCTCTACACATGAAAAATTGGATACAAAACATTTTAATGAGACAACGAAGAGAAGAGTTTTGAAATAAATTGAAGGTATCAGAGGTCATATGGCGTTGATATATATATATATATATATATACAAACTATTCTAAATGAGATTTCAAACAACGTGTTAGATGAGAAGTAGCATCGCATTCTTACATATACCATATCCACGTGCACCTGAAATTCCCAATGTTAAAAGGGGAGAAAAGTGCAATACCTCTCTTGTATCTCGCAAGAGTAGGAGATCCAACCTTTCATGATGAGGACGCTGGTTTGATAAAGAAGCAAGCTGCATCCAATCATACATTAATACCGGCAAACTATCCATTGGATTCGGCAGCCCCTCTACTTTGTGCTGGAATTACTGTTTATGCTTCGATGGTACGCCATAAGATGAACCAACCTGGTAAATCTCTTGGGGTGATTGGCCTTGGTGGCCTAGGTCACATGGGAGTGAAGTTTGGCAAGGCATTTGGTTTGAATGTAACAATTTTCAGCACTAGCATATCCAAGAAAGAGGAAACTTTAAGTCAGCTGGGTGCAGATAACTTTGTTGTCTCATCTGACAGAAATCAGATGAAGGTAAAAATACATATAGTTTCTTACCTCATCACACGAACAATAGAAAAAATAGTGGAAATGATGGCTCATCCTATAGGTTTAGTATTTATCGGTTATTGTTTGCTATGTAGGCCCTGGTGAAGTCAGTAGACTTTATAATTGATATAGCATCTGGTGATCACCCTTTTGATCCATACGCAGAACTATTGAAACTGGTGGAGTTCTGGTCTTATGGTGGGATTCCCCAGTGAAGTCAAAATCAGTCCTGCCAACCTTCATATCGGTACACTGGCATGTTTCAAATGATTGAAATGACAGTTTTATATATCCAACTGGTATTGCAATTGCAAGTATATATAATGAACTCCATGCATTGGCCTTTTGGCAGGTATGAAAACCTTTTCTGGTAGTGTAACAGGTGGAACAAAGGATATCCAAGAAATGATAGATTTCTTTGCTTCAAATGGAATTCATCCAATGATTGAAAAATTCCAATTCAATCTGCAAATGAAGCTATTGAGAGGCTACTAAAAAGTGTTGTGATATACCGGTTTGTGATTGATATTGAAAACTCCCTGAAATGACACCATGAAAGAGAACAAGGATTTCTCTTGTTGATTTGTATTAATAAGTTCATATGGATTGGATTGTAGGGCTCAAACCATTATCAATTTGGCAATCATTTATAGTTAGGTGGTGTGCATTTACCTCTGTGAAATTTTATCTGGGATTGATCTTCTGTATAATGTGTAAAAAGAAACTGAACTCTTATGATCATGTCCTTTCTCTAGTGACTGGATTTATGACTGAAATATCATTCTCCAGCACTTTAATGTCTTCAAGTACCCTGTTTCCATTCTCTGTCTGTTCAGCAACAAGAGTGTCTTTCCTTCTTTCCCCACAGCACACAGTAAAGGCCCACAATAATGAGAAACGCTCCGATCAAGCTGCACATCACCACTTACACAAAATCCACATTAAATTTGTGACTAATTTTCATGACAAACAAACTACCGTGATAGAATGGATAAGTGAAACCATCAAATGTGGAAGTTGTAAGATGGAATAGGAAGAAGGTGTCTGTGTTCTTCAGGTTATTACCTGCCAAAGTGAAGTCATTCTGCGAAATAAATTGCCGAGAACAATGCCACTATAATGACTTGAAGTGGAATAAACATAGCTGCAAAGACTGGTCCCTTGTAACTGATGCACCATGTTTGCAGGTAGCAGGCTAATGCTGAGAATGCAACTCCCTATTGCAAAAGTAAGGAGTGGATGAAGAACAGAACTTGTGACAGATTCAAATATATCTTATACCAACAAGGAGAAAACTACCCAATAAGACATAACAAAATAGGATGTCCCATTTATTTACTTTACACACACACACACACAAGACAATGTTCTCTTCTACATGTTCTGCTGTGAGGTTTTTAAATCGAACTACAGATTCAGATAAGAATTTGCATGATCAATTGTTGAAATCAACGTTGTGAACCTAATAATAAGATATGAGAAAGAGAAAACTCACGCAATAGGCGATGGTTGAAAGTTGCAGGTTCCACTCCAGTCTCCATGAAATTGGATTTCTTGCAAAAAACAGATCAAGAAAAGAAGATTGCAACGACGCGAAAAAGCATATCATCGTGGTTAGCGATAATCGAGCAGTGTAGACTTTGGAGACCACAGCCTGTGAGACCAGAGAGCCAAAGTTGGACAAAGAACTAAACTTGGCCATTACGTGACATAAAAGGGTGTCATCTTAATTCAATTATAAAATCACCTGGACGATTAGCCATGCACTCCATGCAATGTGACTCGTCAGAATAAGAAATGCCCCTTGATCCAGTTTTCCTTCTCATGCCTCATCTCACCAACAGATATATTTACGAAACCTTTAAATAGGTATCCTCCTTTCCAGAAAGTGAAAACAAGAGAACCACCAATGCAGAAAAGTGTGCCAGCCACCTTAGCTTGACCTCTAGCAGTTCTAATCTTCAACTTCTCCAACCTGTGTAAGAACAAGCAAATTGCAGAACAGGAAAAAAGAACATTTATATTCCCCTTTCTAATTAAGCAAGGGAAAGGAAAGGACAGAGAATATACCCAAGTAGAACTGCCATTAGAAATGTCAAGCTGGGAATAACATTACTCAAGGCACATGCAACTGTTGGAGAAGTGTATGCTAAACCAGCATAGTACACATTCAGATAGATGGTGGTTCCAAACAAGGCAAGCACAAAAATTTTGGCAGCTACAGAAAATGAGAGTGAAGGCCTTTGTTTCCTCCTTTACAAATCCATTCAAGAATTAGTTTTCTCTGTTTTTACTGCCTGGAAATATGAAGTGATGCAAGAATCAATAGCTTACCTTTCAAGTACATAAGCAAATGGTCCTACCAAAACCATGGCCATAACATGCCGCGGTAAACGACGAAGACAATTGGATTGAGTCCTTCTGCAAGGGAGAATTTTCTGAGGATGTTTGATCCACCATATATGAGCTGAACCAGTACCATTGCCAAGTAATAAGAGCAACCCCTTTTAAAAAAAAAAAAAAAAAAAAAAAAAAAAAAAAAAAAAAAAAAAAAAAAAAAAAAAAAAAAAAAAAAAAAAAAAAAAAAAAAAAAAAAAAAAAAAAAAAAAAAAAAAAAAAAAAAAAAAAAAAAAAAAAAAAAAAAAAAAAAAAAAAAAAAAAAAAAAAAAAAAAAAAAAAAAAAAAAAAAAAAAAAAAAAAAAAAAAAAAAAAAAAAAAAAAAAAAAAAAAAAAAAAAAAAAAAAAAAAAAAAAAAAAAAAAAAAAAAAAAAAAAAAAAAAAAAAAAAAAAAAAAAAAAAAAAAAAAAAAAAAAAAAAAAAAAAAAAAAAAAAAAAAAAAAAAAAAAAAAAAAAAAAAAAAAAAAAAAAAAAAAAAAAAAAAAAAAAAAAAAAAAAAAATTTAATTGATGTGGCATATAATCAGGGGCGGAACTAGCATATGGGCTAGAGTGGGCTCTAGCCCAGGGACGTTTTTTTTATAAATAAAAAAAATTAGATGTCGTTGTGCTTAATTTATGAGGGCCAGCGTGGGTTACGTGGCCAATGCATTGGACCATTGGTGGCTGGCTGCTGTTGTCTTTTTATTATTTTATTATTATTTTAAGTTTTGTGGTCTATTTCCTATACAATAAAGTATTCTAGTTTCCCATTGAATAAAGTATCCTAGTTTGATATGATGAAGTATCCTATTCCTAGCCTAGTTTGTCCTACGCAACTTTATAAGTATCTTAGTCAGTCTAATAAAAAAAGAAGAAGGCGATATTCATATTTATGAAACTTAGCCCTAGCCCTAGCAGTCCCAAAAGAATATTTGCAGCATTTTGTATTATGTGCTACCAAAGTCGAGTTCATCGTCAACAAGCGTAATAAAGGTATCTAACTCTCCACAATCTCGAATTATTATTATTTTTTCATTGATTTGTTTAGTATAATGTCACATCAGAACCAAGCAAGTAAAAGAGCAAAAACTATTGATTCATTCTTCAAGAAAAAAAATGATGGTGATAAATTAGACAATGACAAGGCTTCTACATTCAATGACAAGGCTTCTACATTCAATGATAAGGCTTCACCATCAATTGAGTCACCTCATCACACATCTCCCCTAGTTGAACCTAACCAGTTTGATGTTGCTTTTTTGGAACGAGACCCTGGGAAACGTATTCAAATATCTGAATACCCTATTGATCAACGTGATGAGGTTCGATGTGCTTATATCAAAGTTGGGCCTTACCAACCAAAATTATTAGAATATCCAGGGCACAACTTCTCTCAAGGATCGCAAGGCACAACTTCAATAAGTACACTTTTAATTATGTTGTTGAACATATTATTCAATGCATACTTTGCTTGGTTTATACTTTTATTTGATTTAATGTATACTATTAGCATGGTTTATATGATTTAATGCATAGTTTTATTTTAGTTAAAAAATTTAGCTAGCCCACCGGTCCAAAAATTCATGGTTCCGCCCTTGCATATAATATGGACATGCCACATCATGTGGTATAGAAATGTGGGATAAAAATGTGGTAAGTGTAGCATTACTCTAACTCCAATGCCAAACAGTTCTACATTTATAATTCTTTACTTAGTTACCAACTAAAAAAATCTCTCTTTATATCGCTATCTCTATGTATATATGCGGTTGCTTTGCACCTTTTGTAAGGCCTTCTCCAACCTTGGGGCTAAACCCAAAAAAAATCTCAAAATTTGGCCCCATTTCATCTCCAATTCATGTATAGGGAGGGGGCGGAAGAATTTTATTGCAAACCGTTCAATCTCTGCTTCTCCAATTAGTTTGAAGCTCCTCATCCACAAAAAACATAAAAAAGTTCTCTTCGCCGAAGCTGGCAAGGATTTTGCTGACTTTCTCTTCACCCTTCTGTCTCTACCTGTCAGCACTGTGATTGGGCTCCTCTCTAGAAAACGCATGATCTGTTGTTTAGGCAAACTCTACGGCAGCTTAGAAAACTTAAATGACACATACTTGCAACCCAACCTCAACAAGGATGTCCTTCTAAAACCTAAGAAGCTGCCAATGCCAATTGGTGGTGCCCATCAACTTCTTCCTGCTTGACTGACGGTGAATCAAAAGGTAAAAAGTTGTATACGTGTCGGTCATGTTAGCCGTCAAGCTACTCCTACTCTGGGGAGGTATGCTATTTGGCTGATGACCCTAAGGCCATTTGTCCAAAGTGCCATAACTTCATTTCCAAACCCACGACTTATGTTGCTCAGCTGGCAATTGCAACCAGCGGCAAGGAAGGTGGGTTTGTGAGAGAGGCTGTGACTTACATGATAACGGATGATATGGAAGTGAAGCCTATGTCTGCCATTTCAAGTATCGCTCTGCTTCAAAACTTCGATGTTAGGGATGTTCGTTCACTTGAAGAGATTGTGGTTCCTCTCGATAAGGATAAGGTTTGTGTTTATTAATTTTTTCTAACGTGATAAATTACCATTCAATATATTCAAATATTGCACTTGGTATTCTATTCTAGAAATCCAGTTGGCAATCGGCTCCTTCCGGTCCTGGTGGCTTTTATCTAGCTTGCTTTTCTTGTTGGGCAAGAAGGTGGTCAAGTCGCCATTAATTGTGGCAATCCTTCTTCAGACCCTCGCGTGGGTCTATGTGTAATGGTTACCAATTTTTTTAACTTTAGTGTGGCTCAAAGTTTTGGGCTTCTTGGTGCTATGAGCTTCTATTAATTTTTATCCATTTGTCTTGCCCATTATTAAAAGAGTTCCTTTTGTCTTTTCCAAAGAAAAGAAAAGGAAAAATATTGGGCATGGGCTTCAAGAGTTCTTTTTTTGAGAGATAGACCATTTTTGGTCCATTTTCCAAATATGGTACAAACACAACTTTTACTAAACATGTTCTCAGCAAGTACTATAAGGCTAGTGATCAGTTTATACTTTCTCTTTTCTCCAATGATATAGACTTATATCGCTTGGCACATACAATATACAATGCCAAGTTGAGTGCAGATAAACCAGCTGACAGGAAGAAAAACCTGTCCAAATGACCATCATTCAGATTCGGAGGAACCCAACCGGGCTGTCCATTCTTCGTCGTGATCTCCATCACCACCATTAAAATCATGCTTGCAACATAACTACCTATTGCTGATGAAGTCATCCACAAAGCTATCCCCAAGCTCTTCAGTCCATCTGGTGTTTGTGAAGAATAAAACTCCATTTGTGAAACATATACAAATGCCTCAGACACTCCCACAAGCACATACTGTGGAGTCTGCCAGAAGATACTCAAAGAACTCGTCTCTTCTCCGCTGTTGCTAGCATATTTTAGTCTCTTTCTCTCAACAAAGCCAGCAATTATCAATCCTACAATTCCAATTGTAAGGCCAATTCCAATTCTTCGTAGCGCGCTTGGAGGCTTCGGTTCTCTTTTTGTTACCTTGGTGTACAAAGGAACAATGAGTTTGTCATATAATATGATGAAGAGGGAGGTGCTAACAATGTCAAATGCAGTCATGCTAGCTGGAGGTATATGAAAGTTTGAGACCCTCCTATCCATGGCGGCTCCCTGCTCGACAAAAAGAGAAAGCACTTGAATGAACACCATAGAGGAGAGGACGGTGCAAAGCCATACTGGCAATAGTCTCAGTATGCATTTCACCTCTTCAACCTGTGTCACAGTGCAAAGATGCCATGTATTTGGAGTTTGTCCTTGGTTTGACATCAGCGAGATATCATCACGGGTAATAAAGGCCGCTCGATCAAGAAACCTGTACGTCGAAAGATGATCAAAGAATTACAGAATGATACTCATTATAGAAACCTCTGAGGGTGACTAATGCAGGGGCAAATTATGTCATGAAATTTTCTTTACAGGACACTGGTCTTATAATTTTCAATAAAAAGTAATTGAATTATATTTAGTTTCATAGAAAAGCCATTTAATTGAAAATGCTTACTTGAAGCCTTTCGTGTGAAGGATTCTTCTCGAACCATTTGTTTCACACTCCCTTCCAATGGTCTCATAAAGTCCTTCTCCATTTGAGGGCAGCTCATGATTTATCTTCCTCATGGAAGCCACTATCACTTGGGAGAACCTAGAAATGGGATTTCCAGAAGCCTTGAAGTGTCTGTACCTAAAACTACCACCTAAAAACAATACAGACCCAACAACAGAAGAACCAGTACATATCCAAAAGGCCGGCACCCAATGCCCCATGCTCTCCATGTAAACCAATACTGTCTCGGCAACCAAGCATCCAAGATTTAATGCCACATAAAAATAGCTGTAGAATGAAGTCTTGGCTTGCCTTTCTTCTGAAAGTTCCTCATCAAATTGGTCTGCACCAAAGGCAGCCAATGCGGGTTCAGGGGCTCCATTTCCAAGAGCAATAAGATAAATTGATATGTAGAACATAGCAACTTCCATTGGTCTATGAGGCTCACATAACTGGCCTATTTCACCACAACCAGGAGGTCTGAGCAGAAATAAGTTTGTTGACAAGGATAATGCTATCAACCCCTGCAAAAATCAAAGGAGGTTAAGATTATACAAAATTTTGGAGAAGAGTGAGCATTCATATGGCTGACATGCCATAAGGGGGAGACGGTCGTGAACGTTGGAAGGCAAACTTACAATGATGTGGACAATTTGAAATGTGACGCAAGTAAGGTATCTTCCCAAGTAGGAGTCACTAAGAAGAGCACCAATTAGAGAGCAGAAATAGAACGTTCCCATCCATCTGCTGAATGTGTTTGCTGCCTCTGCATTGGTCTGCCTCAGTACTGATTTGGTGAAAAGAACCATATTTACTTCAACTCCAGCAAATGCCAGTGAAACTAGTCCTTGATTGACTGTCACAGTAAAAGAAAAGAAAAAGTACCAGTATATTAAGAAATAGATATTAACATTTTTGTGTTTCTGATACTGAAGGATACCTATTAGAACAATACCAAAACCAGAAATGATAGGAATTACCATTAATAACATCAATGCTGATGTGTGAACTATAAGAACACATACCTAATAACAACATTCCACATCTCCACCCACCAGTGCTCCCTTTTACGGCTGGTTTACCATACCAATCAACTGAGCCATCTCTTGTGCATGCATTCAAAAGTTTCTTCTCGCCACCTTTCGATTGATCGACCTCAAACACCTTCCAAATGAAAATTATCGACATATTAAACATATCCAGGCAGGCCTTAATAGAATATAAAATTCTAAGTGTTAATCATCCATATATACGAAACACTGTGCCAAAGATGAACATTTGATGTTGTTATTTCAACCAAGAAAATCCTGGAAAAACATAACATAGATTATGAGTGTGCTTGTGCTATGGAATGGAAATAGGACATTTGTTCCCAGAGGCCTCCCTAGGTGCTTCAGACTTCTTTCAGTTATCATATCAAATTCAAAATCAGATTTAAATAATCACAATTTGCTTTCAAACTACGGGAATTCAGTGCTGTCTACAGCTGTGGCAAATAGGATATATTGTAGCATCAAGATCATAAATGAAATTTCCAATATTTGCTTAGTTATGAAGATTTGCACTTCTAATACTATTATTAATTAGCTTTATGCAACCCCAAAAACGAAAATTAAATAAGGCAAGGGATGACAGATTGTGTCTGCGCAATGCAATGTACAGAGAAGAAGTTTTAAATGTTAATAGCTAGGGGCAAGGGATGATGGATATGAAACAACATTGGAACTAAACTACAGAAAAAGAAGAAAACTTGCGAAGGATTAGAACCATGTTCTCGAATTATATAACTGGGCAAATTGATGACATACATATATACATGGAAATCTATACAGAAAAGAGAAGAAAAGTAAACAGGCTAAGCATTATAATTTTATAAACCATATCATTGCTCTGAGTTAGAAGATACCTTGAAGTTATTATCACTAAGTGCTGAAGTTGCAGAAGGTTCTGATTCTGGATCCATAGCTAGCTCTAAGCCTCTCCAACACACTTTCTGTGATAACAGAGGTTGGTTGGTGAATGGTGGGTTAATTTAAGATGACGAAGGACACATTTACTTATAGAAAATCTACAAACTTGAGCACAGAAGATTGCTCTGATAATCTAATAGAACGACATGTGTCCTGAGAACATAGTCCACATGTAGACATGCAGTAGGGACTTCAGATTAAATCAAAACAGAAGCATGGCATTTTAACACCCAATTGTGACTACAGACGTCATAGTTTTTCTGCAAGGATTCAATGTCTTTTTGTCATATTTATAGCACATTAGGGAGCTTTACTTTTGCTCTAAAAAACCTCTCATTACTCAGTTATTCACGATACTTATTTATCAAATAAAAATCTCCCTATACTTATTACTATCTTATAATTTTTTTTTAATCTAATAGAAAACACGCCCTGACAAGCAATTGTGATAAAGTTATACTTTATATTCTTATTTGCATTGACACTACAGAAAAAAAAATATATATTAAGGACAAGTTCTCTCTTCATTTTTTTTTCTCTCTTCTTTTACAGGACCTCAGATGTATGGGTAGTTACTCTTAACCATTTGAGTTACAAACCCCCTTATTACGTACCAATCAACATTTGTTATTTTAAAAAAAAAAGTTAGGCAATAATGATTCTAGACTTTTTGTTTTTGTTTTTTTCAATTTATGAATTTTCGAAGGAGGCGATCATAAAAGTTAAGGGCAAACCAAAAATTAAGAAAAACAAAATGTAAGGGATGGGCGAAAAATACTAGAATCAATAGATAATCTACAACAAGACTTCACTTAACCACTTCCTTTCATTCATAATCTTTCTGTTTCCTCTTCAAAATTAATGTATATTTTGTTTTTTATTCAATAAATGTCGTTCATGAAATTTGAATGACCTCTTTTGGTGGAGGTTGGGTGCCACCAAAGCAAATCGTCAAAAATGATTTCCAATGAAAAATAGAAGGTATTTCTGTAAACAAATTACAACAAAAACTACTAAATAGCTAGTCTCTCACAGAAAGATTTGAGGGCTGATTGTTGGATCACATTGGCTTAATACAAACTTGAGATGAGCTCAATTTGAACGATGAAAAACCAAAGGAATTTGGCCCAACTGATGTTTTGGGCTGAACCCACATGAAAAAGCGAAACTCGTTTCGTTCTTGTCCAAAAGAAGCGGTTCGAGGAATGACAAATACGTTGTCTCTTTGAAGTTACTGTGTGCGCCATATTCTTCATCATCTTCTCTCTGTCTCTCTGAATGGCACTCTCTTTCAGATTTTGGCGCCTAAATCTCCTCCCAAAACCTTCACTTTCACACCTACAAACCACTCTCAAAGCTCTGAAACCCCTCAAACAAAAACTAAGTCCCATATGTTCACTTCCCATGTCTTCTTCTTCTTTGAATTCCTTGAACTCCCACCTCTCCGTATCAAAAAATCCCACTTTTTCAGAACCTCACAATCCAACTGCATGTCCCCAAGATGATCTTGTTGTTCTGGGCATAGAAACCAGCTGTGACGACACCGCTGCCGCTGTCGTATGATACTGATTTTGCTTCCTTTGATGCTTCTTTTGTACTGGGAATTTGTCAATTTTGTGTTTTTCTGGACTGAGTTTTTATTTATTTATTTGGGTTTTTTGAGTACAGGTAAGAGGCAATGGTGAAATCCTCAGCCAAGTTGTGTCTTCTCAGGTATGTATATTTTGTTTCTTGGATTTAGTTTTGGCAGTAAACCTGGAGAGTGTTAATGAATTAATAAAGGAAATTTGAAGAATTTTGCTATCTTTTCTTTATTGGCCATAAGAAGTTCAAAGAGGATTTGTCTGGCTGACGCCTAGTAGTTGGGGGCTAAGGCTTACTTATGGAAGACTGCAAAACTCATTCATACCATAATAGAAACAAAATGTACTAGTATAATCCACATTTCACATAAGTAATCATATGTTTGTGCTTCAAAATTTGCAACTACTGGTCATGAATAAAGCTCGAGAAGGGTGATTGAGTTATCTCCAGAAACATTATGGAGATAATAATTTCATGGCCTTATGGCCTCTATCACAACTTCACAAGTGAAATTGATGATCAATTAGTCCTTCCTTGTAAGACTTGAAAAATCTCAAGAGTTGTGTCTGTCAACTGCTGAAATGTCATCCATGCGTACAACTTTCACGCAGCTGAAACCTGAAAGGCGCACTGATCTTAGCATTTCTCAGTCGCATTAGCATTTCTTATCTGAGACTGAGATAGGTGAAACATTTTATGGGGATATATCATTGCTCCTTGAAAACACAACTGAAATAAGTGGTGTAGATAGAAGAGACCACAGTAGACCCCTTTCCTTCTTGGCACACTCAAAACATTTCAAGTACACAACAAGCTTGTATAAAGCTTTCGTTTTTATGTTTCCAAAAGAAACAAAACTAAGAATCTTGCTGGGTCTGCGTCCCTGTCATGTTTACCTTTTCTACAAGCCCTTGGTTGACCGCTGCCTTGAAAAAAATCCAACCTTTTTCCTTTTGTTTCTTCCATTAAAAAGAAAGTTAACCATTGAGAAAGCTAGACCTCTGTTTCTTCCATTAGCCATGAATTCTACAACTAGATGGTTTTCCATGAATACTATATTGCTCATCTTCCTTGTAGTAATTCTCCCCCCTTCCACTTCCATTGCCATTGGTGAATTGGGCTGAAAAAGGTGGTGGCTTTTTGTGTGTTTCTCTTCAAATATCTACTTGTTAGAATCAAGTGTATGGTGGAAACAATATGGTCCTGTAACTGTGCTATGTAGTGTGTTCTTTTAATTAGCAAGAATGAGCTATTAATTTATATAATTTCTTTATTCTACTTATACTGGTTACTAATTTTGAGCCTTGACTGCTTCAAGGCAGATTTGCTTGCTCAATATGGAGGTGTTGCTCCAAAAATGGCAGAGGAAGCGCACTTGCAAGTGATTGATCAGGTAAAGTTTCTTCAGTATGATCCCTTCAAGTTCAGTTTGATGTTTCATTTCTTGTTTATACATATGGTACTTGAGCCAGATTTTGATACTTGTGTTGGCACCTACATCAAACTTATATCCTAGTTGTTTTGCAAACTTGCCATGTCACTGAAAGTCACTTTTGGATGGCTTTTTCATTCCAAATTATCACTTGTAATATATTCAAATGCTTCAAGGCTATCTTCTTTTGTTTCTTGGTGATTTTAAAATAATTTAATGTTAACTTGGGTCTGAATTTGTGATTTTTTATTGCAGGTTGTGCAAGAAGCGCTTGACAAAGCTAAATTAACTGAGAGGAATTTGTCTGCAATAGCGGTTACTGTTGGTCCTGGTTTAGGCCTCTGTCTTCGTGGTAAAGTTACTATCACTTTTTGTTTCTCTTTCCTCTTCTTTTTAATTTCCTGTGTTGTATGTGTGTTTGAAAATTTTCTTACCACTGATGCCTTATGGTTGAGTTTATGCCGGGAAACCTGGCCTTAATATAGCAGCCAGGGATCATTGTGAGGAAAGTAGTAAACTTAATTTTATCTTTTGAGCATCGATTTTCTGTTCAAACTACAGGGAATTGGGTCACATTTTCTTTCTTATGCCCTGAACTGACCAGATTTACCGCTAAGGAGTTATTAGCACTAATGTTTCATTCAATTGTTGTGCAGTTGGTGTGCGGAAAGCTCGTAAGATTGCTGGTAGCTTTAACTTACCAATCATTGGTGTACATCACATGGAGGCTCATGCTCTTGTAGCCAGGTACAGACTGGCAACTATCTACCCAATGGAGAATGGGGTGCACAAATCTCTCTCTCTCTCTCTCTTTCTCTCTCTCTCTCAGGGGAATTTTGTATCTTTAAATTTGCCTAATCTGTCGTTAGCTTTTTATTTGAAATACTGATGTGAGTTACTTATACATATGATAAATCTCCTTCTCTTGTTCTAGGTTAAACGAAAGAGAGTTGCAATTCCCATTCATGGCCCTGCTTATTTCAGGTAGAAACTCTACACCTTTCCTACATCAGGTCTGTTTTACTAATTTCACTCAAATTCGATCTACATTTTAAGACTAAAAGACAGTACCATAATCAGAAAAATAAGAAACTACATGACCACATTCAAGTCCATAGGTTACTCCTCCTATGTATATGGTACGGTCATATGTTGCAAACTAAATTTGCACAAGTCACACCTAATTTTTTCCCTTATTTGTTATTTTCAAAATCTAAAACCACTGAAATGTCTGTTTTTAGCGAGAAAAGTGGGTGATTTTGCTATGTGTTATTGATTTAGTTGAGGAAATTTATATGTGTGTATATATATATATATATATTTTCAGAGGAGAGGTTGTTCAGTTTCAGTGGTGTGGCTCGGTTTATTAGTCAACATTCAAAACATATAGATGTTTTAAAGTAAATTAGAGCAGATTCAGCAGGTTTAGTAAAGCTTCCTTTCTATTCTTGTTGTCTGTCATCAGGAGGGCATAATCTACTCGTTCTTGCTCGTGATCTTGGCCAATACATACAACTTGGTACCACAATAGACGATGCGATTGGTGAGGCATATGACAAGACTGCAAAATGGCTTGGTCTTGACTTGAGGAGAAGTGGTGGGCCAGCTATAGAAGAGCTTGCTCGAGAGGGTGATGCAAAATCAATCAAATTCTCAGTAAGTTATCTTCCAAGACATTCTCTTTATCTAGTCTGGTTTCCTTTGGCTGAATATGTATTGTTTGGTTCTACATACGAAGATTGTTATATATGACCTAGATTCCTGCAACGTGAAGTCGTATCCTAAGTTTGATACCCATTTGTTTTCTAGACTCCAATGAAACAACATAAAGATTGCAACTTCTCGTATGCTGGTCTGAAGACTCAAGTGAGGCTGGCAATTGAATCTAAGAATATGTATGTATATTCTGTAGATACTATACAATATTTTGCAGGTTGAAACTTCTATTTTATGTTTGTCGTGTACATTTCCAATGAAACAATTGTGACTTCTCATACACTGGCCTGAAGACTCAAGTGAGGCTTGCAATTGAATCCAGAGATATGCATGTAGGTTATATAGAATATATGATCATTTTGCAAGCTGAGACTTCGGTTTTATATGTTTTTTTAAACTTTTACCGAAGATAAGGAAATCTGGCTTTTTACAGATGTTGACCACGCAGCTTATGGAACTGATAAGACTGTTAAAGCACAAAAAATTGTTGTTGGTTGTTTCCAGTACTACTATATTGTTCTGTGCAATTATTTATGTCAGCTAGCTTAGCTATTTTCTTTTTGTCGCCATCTTTCCTGTGTTGTGCAGTAATGCTACAATTCCTATTTCTTCAGCGAGCAGTGAAGATAGAAGGACTCGAGCTGATATTGCTGCCTCTTTTCAGGTTACTGAATGTGTATTTGTTTCAGTCTTTATCCTAGTTTGATCATATGTTGAATTTTTAGGTATTGACTCTTTTTTCTTCTATTTCTTCTTCACAATAAGATTGTTTCTTATGCAGCGAGTCGCAGTATTACATCTAGAGGAAAGGTGTGAGCGAGCAATTGAATGGGCTCTGAAGATTGAACCTTCTGTAAAATATTTGGTGTGTAAACTGCACTTTTGTCAGTTTTGTATTCTTCAACCCACCTCATGATGATGGGCATCTCTTCTTTATGATAGTATTCCTGAATTAGAGCATGAATCCCTCTATATATTCATCCTATGCAGGTTGTCTCTGGAGGCGTTGCATCAAATCAGTATGTTCGGGCTCGGCTTGATCAGGTTGTCCAGAGAAACAGCTTACGACTTGTGTGCCCTCCTCCCAGCCTTTGTACTGACAATGGTAATTCCTTTTATCTAGTTTCGGCTCAACTTGTGGATGAGGTCAACTTTCCCTTGATAAAGAAGAATCTTAGCATGTTTACCATCATTAGCTGATGTGACTTAATTCTGAGAATTAAAAGTTAATGTGCCCATACTTGGCCATTAACTATGTGGAAAAGACTTCTGGACGAAGACTAATGCCTAGTTTGAAACATAGTTTTCATTATCTTTACACAAAATTTCCTTTTGGCATGTTTCGTATATTTATTGTTTGTTGGACAAGGTGATCATTACCTGACCTGAAGACTAATGTCTGGACTTTAACATGAACAGGTGTCATGGTGGCTTGGACTGGCATTGAGAACTTTCGTATGGGAAGATTTGATCCACCACCACCTGCGGATGAACCTGAAGATATTGTGGTTTGTTTGAAAACTATGCTTACATATGATTGCTTTTTCACAGGACCCTTCTTAAGGAGAATCCCGCTCCACTGTAGCTGGAGCAGGATCCACAACATCCATCTCAACACGTTAACGACTATCAATATGTTGTCCATATTGGTGATACTATCGATACTTCAATTATACAGCTGTCAATATGGATCCTGCTCCACTGTAGCTGGAGTGTGATTCCCCTTAAGTAGGGGCCTGTTGCTTTGCTCATTCAATTTCTTATTTTCATGTTTATTCATATGTTTAATCTGGATCTCTTTTCCATTGATTTTTGCCTCACTTCTTAAGATGTAGCGCTGGCTAAGTATTCTTAACACCTTGCTTTTTGCCACAAAAAATAAAAATAAAATAAAAGGAAGTAATAAATATGAATAAAATATAGGAAACATTTCCTCGTGTTGGCCCTTGTTATTACCAATAAGCCATGCTCATACTGAATTGTTTTTGAGTTGATTTTTCATGCGTCAGAACAGGGTACTGTTTTGTCCCATAAAATAGGTTTTCTGCTCTGAACTTTTCTCTAACAATTAAATTGATTGTGAATCTTTGGATGAACTATGTTTCAGAGAGTACTCCAACTATCAAATTGTTGGCCTTCATAAGCATGCGTCTATATGATGTACATATAACTATGCCAGTAACTGTATATGTTCAACATTCCTGTTTGTGTTTGTGTTGATTGAGTTACCATTTCAGCCAAGGCTGTTGGCTGCTTAATCAGATATTCCTTGTCCGTCTATTATATTATTCACCGAAGCCTTATTTGTCAGTTTTTTCCCTTATGAATCAGTATGATCTGCGGCCAAGGTGGCCATTGGGAGAGGAATACGTGGAGGGAAGAAGTGAAGCTCGCTCAATGAAAACAGCCCGCATTCATCCCTCTCTGACATCTATGATCCAAGCATCTTCACAACAGCAACCATAGTCTGCATCTCCTAAATCCGGCAACGACTTCATGCTGTTCAACGGTCGGAGCCATTTGATGAGTCAAATTGATTTTTATATGTTGGGATGGTTGACTCGGTTTGAGCCACCTTTCTAACGATGAACGGAAGATTGATCACAAGTGTGGCACGGGGTAAAGGACCGACCATTGGCATCAAGCAAATGTTATGTTAATGCGTGTGATGCACCTTAACATATGCTACACCTTGCAGCAACTTCATACTTTCCCCATGTAACATATGCTACACCTTGGATTGTGTTAAAACTATTTATTCTTGTGCGTTTTGTATAGCACATTATTCATCGAGCTGTATGATGTTGGTATCAGAATCACTCCGGCCAACCACCATACTTAGAAATGGAGATGAGAAAGAAAATAAATCATATATTAAATAAATATCTTATCTGGTCTTCAATTTCCTTCCAAGTAAAAAATTTTCTTTCTATTGAAATTATTATAAAAACTTTTTTTTTTAGGATCTTTCCTATTGAGAGGGGCAATAGTATACTAAACTCATATACATTATACGGATGCTAGGACTCGAACCTAAGACCTTCCCTGGGAGATCAATTGCTCCAAACCACTACACTAGTAGGTCATTTGCCTATAAAAACTTGTTAAAATGAAAGGTAATATCCAAATTCATTTGTGCACAAAAAAAAATTAAAAAGAACAAGTTATATGAACAAGTAGTTTTCCAAAATTATAAATTCAATCACCAAATAGCTTCATTGCCATTGCCAACATTATTTACTATTTCCAAACATTTTTAATATTGTGAAAAGAAATGTAATGAAAATTTATTTGTTTATTTAAGAACTCTCTTTGTCAACCAAAGATAAATAGAATGAAATGTCAATCTTATCTTTTTCCTGAATTGAACAAGTTCAATAACAAATTTAGAAATTAAAACTAGTATGGTTATCAATCTTACCACAAATTTTTGCCTTCCATAATTACCCCACCTTTTTTTCTCGGAAAATGCTAGGGAGATTAACTTTAGATACCAACTTGTGTACCAACTCTCTAATAGAGCGTGGGACCCATTGTATTGGTGGGCTCCACCTCTATTAGAGAGTTGGTATCTAAAGTTGGTCTCCCTAGTATTACTCTTTTTTCTCACCTCTCATAACAGGGAGTAACTTTAAACTCACGTGCAACACGTGCACCAAAATTTCCCTCCACTTTCCCCCAACATTATCATACGTTGAAAAACCTACTTCTTTCTTTCTCTAGAATCTACAGAATGGAAGTGGGAAGGTTACCAATCTCAGCATCACAGAGAGGCAAACTGATATCAGCAGGCTATACCACTCTCACTTCGCTCTCATCTCTCTCTCCCTCCGACCTTGCTCGAGGTAATCTTCTCTCAGCCGTTAAATTTTTCTAATTTTTTCTGTTGGGTTTGTGTCAAATTGATAGCTTATGGGCTTGCCCGCCAAATGTTTGATGTAATTACACTTTGTGTTCTTAACGCAATACTGCTTCATACTTTCAAGTTCCCATATAACTTTTGAAGAGAAAAAAAATTATGCAATATGGAATGAATTGGGTTGTGGTAGTTCAAAGGTTCTTATATAACAGTGCATGATGGTCCTAAATCCTACTAATAGTAATTTAACCTTTTGAACTGGTAAAATTAAAATTTGAAGTATTTTCGATGCTGTCTGAATTCGGGAGAGATAACCCATGTGACCTGAGTTTCCACGGTGTACCTTTTAATAAGATAGTTTTGGATGGTACTGCAGCAATAAAAGTAGTAATGTATTTGTGCAGTTCTTTTTCTCTATAATGGTGTTATAAATCTTCTTTTGACAATGGCTTCTATGTTACTTTTTCAATAAGTTCTGTACGTCATGGTTTTGGTCCAATTATTTAAGGAAATCCATATTGATTTTGATAAAATTTTGAGATGTGATGGTTGAAGTTTTCTAGCATTCTTTATTGTTTAACAGATCTAAAAATTCGAGAGAGTGAAGCTCTTGAAATCCTGAAGGTTGCATCACACGACTGTAGGTTGGACCAACCAGAAAAAAGTAATGGCATTTTCACTGGTAATTATCTCTTTGACCCATATATGCGAGTGCTTAAGTAGAAAAAAATGTTCTCTTGTCAGATTGTTAAGCGGGGACATACATTTAGAAAGGTTTATCCAATCCATGATCCATATTGACCATTTGAAAATATAGCGTGTCATACGTACCCTATACTAACTTTTTCTTTAATTGAGTAGTTTTTTCTATAAAAAAAATTATATGAAATGTCTTTCTCCTTTTAGTGTCCTTTACAGCCTTCACTAGCAAGCTCACAAGAGCCAAATATAATTGCATCATTAAGTACCCATCTAAGAGTGTAGTTGGCCACACTTTATCTTCCCTTGTAAACATGCCTTATAGCACCATCATTTTCCATCAAATGTCGGACAATAATGTGGTTTCGCCTGTATAATTTCCTTGCTGGTAGTGCCAGTGGATACAACACACCATATATGCACTTATTAAATCTATGTCGGGTGAAAGTTCCTTTGTTGCCTAAGGTTGATACTTGTTCTTAACCCGACAACAAGTGTGACTTATCTTTGAACTTCTTGCATACAGATTAACCTTCAGTTAAGATAACTCTGCTATGTACTGGCTTCCATCTTGCATTCGATCATTAATTCATATAATACTTTGATTATATGTCATTTCTTCTCCATTTTATAATAACTTTTGAACTAAAGTTACCTCTTTGTTGGTTGTCATGCATTGCCATTGATCACAAGCAGATTAATCATCACTTTGAGTGTAGTATTTCTGTAACTATTTTGTGCTATTAGAGTTGATTTGCGTTTGTTTCTGTAACCTCAATCATTTTATTTATATGAAAGCCTTTTGTTCTTGTGTCTTAATTGTTGAAAGATTTTCTCAAGCTGTAGTTTATGCCACCATTTTTTGTATATTTTGAAAACTGAAGTTAAAAGAGTAAAAAATTTTCCTGTCTCCTTTAGGTGCACAAACTGCTTGGGAAATGCTCCATGAGGAGCAATCATTTCCACGCATCACGACATCTTGTGCTGATCTAGATAACATCCTCGGTGGGGGAATTAATTGCAAAGAAGTTACTGAAATTGGTTAGTTATTCCATTTGTATACTTTTGTCTGCATTGTTTATGTATGAGCACAAAACTGTAGCAAGCTTTCAGTTGTCCAGATGATTTTATTGGATTTCTCTTCTTTTTTATTATCACAATAGGTGGAGTACCGGGCATTGGTAAAACACAGCTGGGGTATGTATTTTCTGCATTCTATTATTTTCTATCTTTTCTTTCATTTGTTTTCAAGGGCATCAAATGCATAGTTTGCTTTGCAGCATTCAACTTGCAGTGAACGTGCAAATTCCAGTTGATTTTGGTGGCCTAGGTGGAAAGGCAGTATATATTGGTCAGTGTGTTAACCTTTTTTTCTGTCTCATTCTGTTTTTGACAAAGGTTTCCAGTTGCATCTGATGTTTAGAACATGGTTCTTGCATGATACTTAGATACGGAAGGCAGCTTTATGGTGGAGCGGGCTCTACAAATTGCCGAAGCTTCTGTAGTGGACATGTCACATTACAATGAGCTTCTGCGGAAGGAACTTCGAACTTGCCAAGTTGAAATTCAGCCTACTGATATCTTGAAAAACATATTTTATTTCCGCATCTGCAGTTATACAGAGCAGATTGCCCTGATAAATCACTTAGACAAATTCATCTTGGAGCATAAAGATGTAGGTATAGCATTAACATATTGATTTGAATTGGAACTTAATGCTTCTCATAGAATCATATATGCAAGGAAGTCGTCATTTTTCTATGAGCATGTCTTCATTTGTTCTGTTTGTTCATCAATTAATCTGGCTTATTTTTATATGTACTTTTAAGCCTTGCTTAGTTTTATTAATATTTCTTTTAGCTGATGGACAGCTCATTTGTAAACTGAAACTGGATCTCCTTTTGATTATCATTGCATGCACTATAAATAATCTTCATTACTGGAAGTACTAAACTTTCTTCCAAACAATTTTCAGGTTAAGATTGTGATTATTGATAGTGTTACT